TTTGATAATAAAAAAAAAAAAAACAATGCGCCCTATTTTACATTCTTTTAACATATTTAACTTGCATAATTTACATTTTATATTTTATATTCCAACTCTCGTGTATTCAAGAAAATAAACTATTTCAGATGGCTGAAACCAAACAATGTCGATGAATTGAAGTTCGTATCCAAAGATGTTTTATTGATACGAGCTGGAAAGACCATAATATTTTATGACGTTGTTACTCAAAAAGAAGATATCTTAATAGTTGGCAGTAAGTCATTTCCAAATAACAGTGATGGGAAACAAGAATTACCTTTAGAAGGCATTGGGTGTGTTGATTGCTGTGATATAAATTTATTGGCTTTGGCTGAACAACCACCAATATCTAAGGTGGTTATATGTTCATACCCTGAACTAAAAGTGTTAAAAACTCTTATTGGTATGTATGGAAAATAAATATGTTTTATAAAATAATTTTACAGCTACAATTTTAATGTAATATAAATGTTAAAATGAAGCAATTTATGTTCTAATTTGTTTACTTATATAAACTTAAACCAAATGTTTTTATTTTCATTGGAGCTTATTTTAAACTTAATTTTTTTTTTTTTTTTTATTGTTTTAATACTTATTGACTCGCCCATTATATAATAATGATATATGATTTCAAAAAAATTGAATCTTAAAATTGTAATACATTTCAGATAATAGCTGTTCTGCACCTTATAAGTCTATACTGTTTTTAAGATTGGAGTATTTAATCGGCTTGCGTGATTATCCAGCATTTGATTTGATAGTGTGGGCATGGAGAATCGGAGAAAAACTTTTGGCCGTTGACACCGGATTTATTCAGCCGAATCAATATTTAAAGTAAAAGCCTGATTGGTGTACCAAATTATAAAAGCATATTAAATAAAAAAGTATGCAATGTATACTATAATATTATACTGCAAAATGCTATACGATATTGATAGATTCCTCTGGGTTTCGGATATATACTGCAATTTGTTTAATTATTGTGAAATATAGACCAGTGCTTCTCAACCTAGGTGGTTGCTACCATATGATTTAAATCAATACGAAAAGCTCAAATATTAAAATAAAACCAATAAATATTACAATATTACTTAATACTTGGAAATTTGTTATATTTTAAAATGGGAAAACAAACGCATTATTATTACTTTTTTAGTGCCTAATACTATTGTTTGACGTTTATTAAAGAATTTATAATAAACGTCGAATATAGTTTATTAACTTATGATAAGGCTTTTTGCTACAGTGTAAGTGATTATAAATTCAAAAAAATACTTATGTCTTATGACTTATAGTAATGAAAATACACTTCGTGAAAAAATTACAAATATCAATATTTTACGCAATACAACTTGACCAATCTACTAATATTAATAATGAAGCTATATTGTTAATTTATATGAAATACCAATCTAAACGATAAATAAGAATTTTTTTATTACATAAATTTAAAAACATACTGTATTTCTAGAGAAATTTTCAAAATCAACTAATTTAATTTCTAAAAAATTAATTTACAATTTTCTAACTATATTGGTATTTGTACTGATGGAACAGTAGCTATAACCGGAAAATGTAATAGTCTTATCACACGTGCTTAACAAAATTCCTAAAAAAAGCATATATATGAACTCACTGTTTCATTCACCGTGGACAATTAGCCACTAAAGATATAAACGAAAACATTTTGATATTTTAAATATATTTGAGAAAAAAAATCACTACTTGGTGATTATTTTGAAAAAAGTTATATTGTTAGCAAAACTTATATATATTTCCGATATATTTTGAATTCTAAATGAGTTAAATTTAAGTATACAAGGACCACGAAATTATCTTTTCTATATCTTACTACAAAATTTGTTGTATTTCTAAAAAAAATATTGAACTATGGACAAATCTAATCTAATGTTTTTATAATAATAACCTATTATTCATGTGACCATTTTCAATATTTTATGTAGTAAATAGTAATTTATCTCAAAATATTCAATTTAAAAAATATTTTGGAAAATTAAGAAGAGTAGAGTAAATGCTCCAGCTTGTCCCCCCTCCAAGCGCGTATGGAGCAAAATATACGTATTGGTTTGATATTTTTATTTTAAATAATTCCTTTGATAAGTAATAATAATAATTATTATTATTTATTTTTACATGACTAGTATTTTTTTTACTGTATTTTACTGCTAATGTTTTCATATTTTTTATAGTAAAAACTAAATTAATTATTGTGTAAATAAATACCATTAAATTTTCATTTCTATATTATTTTTAAATGATTTAATCCAGCCCTGAGGTTTGTTTTAAGATTGAAATTATGTCTACGTCTAAAACTAAATAAATTATAATATGATCGTTGTCACATCGCAGTCTTTCAACGATAACTACAACTGGCAGAAACGACGTGTACCTTTGCCAGACTGAACTCAACGTCGGGTGTATGCTCCAATTGTGGACATTGCACGTAGCTTGCAAAGCAGTGTATGCAGAGAAGACTCAGGTCAAGGCGCCTCTAAACGCTACAGGATCGGGTTGCTGGACGCCATACGGATGGTACGTGTTCTGTGACTCATTGGCAAACGTTTTCCGAGTACAACCAGGTACTCCGGAACCAGAAATCGTTGTAACAACAGCGGTAGATCCAATCTTAGTGAAACGTGATAGCGACGATGATGTTCCGACCGCGATGGTATGCCCCAGCAAACAGGGTTTTATACTGTATGCGGTCAATCAAAGTTGTCAGCTGACGGTGATTATATAGTTCAATACTATTATAGTTTTAATTTTGTTTATGAGGTTAATTATTCGTTCGGAAGTGTAAAGGACAGTGGCGCCGAACCTATACCAGTGGCGTTTCCTGACTTTCGGCGTTAGGCGTTAATGTGTGAGGAAAACAATTAGGAAAACTCCCCTTACGGAAAATAAATTCGTATCAACTATTAACAATCAACATATTATTAAAATTATTTATTTTAAATACTTTTAAATTTTTAAAAATACATCCAAATCCAACATCTATAAAATTAAATATAATATAAAACTGAAAATGTACAAATTAATATAATAATGAATATATTATGTTTTCGACGATCGGCGTTGCAGTCTTGCAGTACGAGTGTACGACGTAAACAGGATAACGTGCAGCCGCGACGATCCCCACTAACGGTCCAAACACAGTGTATAGGCTAGCGCTAGACTAGTGAGTAGTGGCTAGTCGTTAATTTCATTTTCAACGACTTGGTCTAGTATTAACATGGCACCGAAGTTATCCGAAAATATCACGACAAATTACGAATATGAGATATTAGACACCACAAGTCGTTGTTCGAAACATTAACGTCCTACACGGCTACACCCTACGGCCTACACAAACACAACATAATACAATATTATTCCGTAATCGGCGTAATCTTATTGGACGCCGTTGCGCGTCGTAGCTGCAGACGGCGCGGGCGAATGGTCGAGTTTAGAGCTTAAAATAGACAATAGTAACAATAGTTTATTATTTGATATTATTATTTTTACATGACAATTATTTTAAGATTTTGTAAATAAAATTATATAACCATGTAATATACTAATATGAATTACAAATTACAATATTACACACATGTATGACATCAATGTTTAGGGCGTTAACACACAACTTGCACACCCAGAGAAAACGCCACTGACCTATACATGAACTGAAACGATCGCTTCATATAATAAAGAAGGTGGGGTGGTTTTATTTGTAGATATGTGTTTTTGTTTTTACATTACATAATACATGTACTAAATAATTAAAAAAATAACTAAAAGATCAACTAGAAAATAATGTGTTAAAATCCTCAGTGGTGGATGGGTGTATAAATATTTTGATTTTGCTTCATTTAAATTTGGGAAAATTCGTTTAAAAATGAGAAATTTTTTTTATCCTGTTAATGATATTTTCATAGCCAGTCGGTGGTTATCAAAACTTATGACTTATTTACGCCCCAATACCGTCAACAGATTTAAAAACGAAAAATTATGTACATAAATATTATGATAGTTATTAATTATTAAAAAACAGGAATCTACTAATTATGTACAATATTACTCAGTTATTTCAACACAAAAATAGCCAAGTAAAAAAAAAGGGTAAAAAATAATCGAATTTGAAAAAAAAAATTAGTAGTCATTTTTTTTACTGTTATAATAAAAATACGCAATATATATTAAAATTTTTATTATTCTTCAGTCAATGGAACGCTCAAAAGTAATTTGATTAATATTGATAATTTTAACCTCCTCCATTAAAATTTTTATAGCAGCGACGTAACAGGAATTTTACATATTTATTAAATCGAAGATACATTTATTGAGTAGCATTCGTTGTTACACATATTTTTTTATATGTATTTTTTTATTTATTTGTATATATACTTATACCTTTATTTTATAACTAAATAAATTATACTATGATGTGATTATTTGCAGTTTTTTAAAGACACCAGAGGTATTTTTACTAAAATATGGATGATAGTCGTCGATTACATATTACAGTGTATTGTAGCTGTAAAAAATTATGTTTACGGCTGGTCGAACGAGGTATATTTACATAATACTTCCTTAAATTAGTATAATATGTTCCATTAAAATTTTGATAAAAATATTAAATACTTTTTTTTCTCACCTTCAAGGGAATCTTATTACAACTGACACAGAAAAATCAAAAAATAATGAAAGTTTATGGATCAAAAATCAAACATTTTACGTTTATTAAACCTACAAATGAAACAGTAGCCACCATTAATGATAAAAACATCTTGCAAATCTGGGATGTTTTGACTGGAGAATTTGTAAACATTTTTAATATTTCTTAAAATAGGGTAGGCAATCTCCTAATATTTCTTGCTATATTGTAGAAAAGTAAGGTAAAATTAAATGGCACTGCAACGGATTTATGTAGTAATCCGTTTTATAACTATATTGGTATTACATTTAAAAACGGCAAAATGGAATTTCTAAGAACTGATCCTAAAGTTAACGAAATAGAGTTGATTACAAAAATAGTGCTATGTGATGAAGATTTATCTTCAGTAAAATTTTTTTCAGATGGAAACACTATTAGCGCCACTAGTTTTCCAACTGGTCAATTTTTCTATATTGACGTAAGTAAACTGAAATTAAGTACCTAATACATTTAAAATTATCATTATATCGTATTTAATGATTTAATTAAACATTAATTACAACTCTATAGTCTATAATACAAAAAATCAAAAATAATGAAAAACAAGTTGGTATCATTGTATTTATATGCATTAAGTACAGCCCCGGATTAAGGTTGGATTGGGCCCCAGGACACCATACACTTAGTGGGCCCCCTTTCAACTTTACCTTCAAAAAATTTTAACACTACATTTTAAAGACTGTATACTCATATTATTATTAATTCTTGTACAAAAAAAAAAATAATGTTTTGTAATAATTTATTATACATACATTAAAATATTATATACATAATATAGAAAACACTGTTTTGTTTTAGTTAAAAAGAATAATAGCTTAAATTTTTTTCCTTGCTTTTTCTTTAGCGAATTTTTGAATCGTTTCATTAAAATCAATCAATTTCAAAATATCATTTTCAGAGTACAATACCATTAAAGATGTTAAATTTTCCTGAGTCTGGCTTGTTCTATATTTATTTTTTATTCTTGTTAATTTGGAAAATGCTCTTTCGGTTGAACAATTGGCCACTGGGATAGTTAAGTATAACCTAAGAGCAATTAAAATATTTGGGAATACTTCCTGCAATGATTTTTCGTAGAACCATTTTAATAAACTAAATGCATCACTTTCATCAAATGTTACTTTACTTAAATGTAAAAATGTTTGAAATTGAATAATTTCATTTTCAAGTGAAGAGTCAACATCATTTTTATATGTAGAAATACAATTCTTAATACTCTTTTGGACTTCACAAAATTCTATTTTTAGAGTTAGATTAATTATATTGCCTCCATATTTAGATAATAAAAACATGGACTGGACAATAAAACGTCTTATCATATATAAATTATATGGGTACCTTATGCGAATAGATCAAAAATGCCTAATATCAATTATTACCATATATACGTTATCAATTATTAGAATATAATTTTAATATTTATTATCATTTAGTAATTTTTCGTGATATAAAATTAAGAACAAAAAAAAGTATAAAAATTCTTTATAACTATTTTAAATGTATTAAAAACATATATTTTACAAATAAAGATGGGCCCTCAAAATCAATGGGCCCAGGACAAATCTTATATTTATAATCCGGGCTTGATTAAGTAGTTAAACGATATTAATTAGTAAATATTTTTTGAAGTAATAGTATAATAAAAATATAATTTAGGTACTTTTCTTATCTTTTAGATAAAATTAGGACAGACATGCTCTGTGATTAAAGAACATCATTTGGGAAAATACGTTATTGATGTTGACATAATAGATTTTAAAAACTCATCATTTTTAACAGTAGTTTTATATTCAAATCAAAAAAATGCTGAAAACGCTGGTAATAATATTATAATATTTGATTTAAATTTCAATGTGATTTTTAAGTTAAAGGATACCCAATATTATTACATATCGGTATTTAAATGGAGTCCGTGTAACGTGCCAGATGCAATAAATGTAGCATTTTCTGTCTTATTGTCGAATGTTATTCACTTATACACAATAAATCTCTTAAAAGTATGTTAAATTAAATACTATTTTTGAAATTATTATTAATTTCAAATTATATTTTTCGTTAAGGATAAAGTGATTGACTTACAAAATATACCATTAGATCGGCAATTAAGAAATATTAAAACATATGTGTGTGAAAACCATTGTATTATATTTAGTCCAAATGGCACTTATAGCCTTTATGAATTTGATGATGATGGACAGTGGAAAAAAATTATTATGGTAAACTGCAGTCATTGGTTTCTGGGGTTGATAGCTGCTGAATTCGATGTAAATATCTGTAACATATTAACACTAAGTGATCAAGGAAACTTTGTGTGTACAAGCTTAAAGTAAATATTTCGAGAAAAATAATTAAAATATGTTTTGATTTTTTTACTAATATAAATTTGATAACAATAATATTGAATTTTAGAGGCACTTTTAATCACATAAATCGAATTTATAAAATCAATGAACCAATTATTGTGGACAATTTTAAAACGAAAGGAATTGGTATTGAGAATGAACTAGAATGTTAGTTTCATTGACATAGAAAATTAGAAAAATGAAATAAATAATTAATTTATGAAATTCCACAGCTCCAAAACGTATGACTTGGTTAATGATTAATAAAGAAAACGAATTGAATGCAAGTAAAGTGGCATACAGTAACCAAAAAAATAAAATAATTCAAGATTTTGAAAAAATAAAAACTAAAGTAAAAAAACGTTTAAAAACCTATGTACTAAAATAGTATTTTATTTCAATTTACTAATTCATAATCAAAGTTGAAAATTTGAAGTTAGATATGAATATGTTCACTTCATACAAAGAATATCTCTTTGAAACTATTTTCTTATGACATTTTAGACATTTCGTAGTATACTTTTTTCGGGTAATTAATTACGCATTCCATAACTGTACTAATGAACTAAGTTACATCCATTACATTCAAGATTTTGTAGTGACGTAGAGTATAAATTGTATATAATTAGTATCTATATGTCTATAAAAAAAAAATAAAATTTTTAATCTATTAGTTGTTCTATATGAATTATATGTAAATATCTACTATTTTTAACTTCCAAGTGCCAATTCTGTAAGTTTTCACAACATTAATCATTAATACCTACCATTTAATATACGAAATATGGTATTAAGAAATATTGATTTTAATCCATACCTACAATTAATAGCGTTAATAATTTAGTTATACATTTTATATTGTAAATCAAGGAAGTTTAGGTAATATGTATTTTTTTTCTGAAACGAGTCTTTTTTATCATTGAAATATTATTCTCAACTCGATAGGTATGTGTGTATATTATATATACATAATTTACGTAAAACATATTATACATAATAATATATATTGTATAATCAGGGGCACAATTTCATTGAAAAAACTGAGGGTGCTTAAGCTCCTTTATCTTTTTTTATGATGTTGTCTTAAGGTTATGGATACAGTTACTATTAAAATCTAAATTAACATGAAACAACTTGGGGGTGCTAAGCACACCCAAGCCTACCTCCCTCAAATTGCGCCTTTGTGTATAATGTATATAATATATACATGTTATGTTATATACCAGATCAGAACGAGTAAACATTGGTTTTAATTTCCATTAACATATTAAATATAAACAACATTAATTTTATGCACAATCATCTTATTAGTCTAGTCAAAAAAGAAAAGAATCTAGCATTTTAAAAAAGTTGAAAACAATTACTATACGCCTATTTTAATACCTACATAAAGCAATGACAAATAAAACTGTAATATATATTTTAATAAATAAAATATTTAATTTTTATAATATTATTGTGTATCAATCCCAATTAGTCTAATAATCGATTTCAAATTTAGTGAGTACTTTGTATAAGTAATAATAAAACAATACATACTATTTTTTTTTTTTTTTTTTTATTAATCTTATTTTAAGCTTGACAACTAAGACTGTTAGTTGTGGATCGGAACAGTAGGTTTTTTTGTGTAGGGATTATTTTTAAGGTTGAAACACGTGTGTTTATGTGTGTGCGCCATAGATTCGTCACTAAGAATCTGGATAATTACCCATCCACGAAGAGCTAGCGACGCCGGCCAATGCTTGACCTCAGAACACATATGAGACCAACCACCGCGCCACACCAGGCCACATTTCCTATTTTTAATAACCCTATTAAATATGTATCTTATTTTTACTGGATAAAATTTCTAAAAATATAACTGACAATAATTTCATAAAATATACATATACATTAATAAGTTAAATATATTCTACTATTAACGAATACGTTAAATGTTTGAATTTTAGCTACTTCATTTATTTGAAACAAATATCAATAAACCAAATTGCATGCAAATAAATATAGAAGAATTCGATTTAAATGTAGATTATACACTAAGTTTTAAAAAAAAGTGTAAGATAGAACGTAAAAAATACGAAGAAAAAAATCTTGGTGACATTTCCAATTTTAAAATAGAAACTGAAAATATTATAAAGGAAAAATGGGAAACTTTATTTATCAAACCAAAATCTATATATGTAAGTATAATACAAAAATAAAAAACTATATTCATGATTTTAAATAAAAATTTAATTTTAGTGTTTAAAAAATATATATAAAGTAGATAACTATTCAATAAGCACAATAGACGAAGAAATAACCAATAAGGCAAATAAAATCATAGAAAAAAGAATATTTATCAAAGATATATCAGAACAAATATCCACAGAAGCTTTATTTTTTAAGTAAAAGTCTAAGTATATTTTGTGTATAATTAAGTGTAAAAAAAATTACTTCCTAGAGATAATTTTGAGGTATTGGATGTTGAATCAAATTCAGAATTAAATTATAAATATAATAATGATGTATCAATAACGGGTTCAATGAGTTATAAGTTGGTTGAAACTATAGATACTCTAAATTCTCAATACAATTATTATAGATTAGAAATTGCCGAAGATGAAATTATTTTACTTAAAGTATGTAAATAATAATATATTAATATGTTAATAAATCATTCTATTTATTATTGCTAACAAACATTTTACTTATTTAGTTTATGATTAACAAATTAAAACATAGATTTAATCAGCTATTTGATGATTTGTTTATTGAAAAACAACGGCAATTAGATAATTTGAAGGAATATCAGGATAGGTTAATTGTAATTGAAACTGAATTGAAATTAGCGTGCAAAGGTATTAAATAATTGTAATTGATTAACTAAAAAAATCCATGAATTAAGTTGTATTTTTTTTTTTTTTTTCTAAGTTGAATTAACTGGATATATGCCAGTAAATTTTAAATGGAATAAATATGAACAAACCGAAACACTGTTATACGTTAATGATGATGAAGTTCCTGTAGAACTGTACCATTCTAGTAATATTGAAATGTCAATCAATGAAGAAAAAAATAGTAAATTGTTAACATTGGACAACTTTAAACAGCAAGCATTGATGATTATGATGGATGGAGTGCTGGAAAAAAGGTGGGAAGATGAGTTAAAAAAAGATGTGCCTAAACCTCAATGCATGGTAGTGTGTATTTTTTTAATATTTGGTAAATTGTATAGTACAATAATCATTTTTTTTTATAGTTAAATAAAAATCCAGAAGAATTTACAGCTGACGATTTCAAGGCTATTAATGTTTATGAAAAACTAACTTTAATTCTGAATGATGAAAGAATAAAATACAAAAATATTCTTGAAGAAGAAAAAATTAAAATCTACTATCATATAGAACAGATTATATTGGAATTTGATAACAATGTATTTATGCTATTTCAAATGAAATTGAAGTATAATTCAGCTATCAACCAGGAGCATTTAAAAATTCTTAGGCTTTCAAAAATTTTAAATGATAACGATCAACGAAAACGCCAAATTAAAGAATACAAGTATATTATTTTTTATTTTTATGATAATTATCCTCATTTTTTTAATAATGTTTGAAGTGAAATCATTTTGAAGTCAAGAGAAACTATCATGGAAATTGAAGAAATTATTGTGGAAACGAATAAAAGTATAACAAAAACCGAGCCAACTTCTTTGCTAAATTCTATAGAAATATTGGATCATAAAAGCAACAACCTTAATAAACGTTTTAAATCTGAGTTTCCTTCCAAACTTAAATACGAACAAGCGTTAATTGCCTACAAGTAACATTTCTTAGAACTACACCTCTTAAATATATATTTTTTATTATTATTATTATTAGAATATAGTATACAAACTATTACTAGTTAGAACAATAAGTAAAATAGTTGGAAGAGTTTAAGACTTAAATAAAAACGGATTAAAGAAGTCTTCCATTAAAAGCACTTTGTCGGTTATCTACTCATATATATATGCATTTACAATGACATTATATTACAGTTATATTAGATTTATATTTACTAAATTAGTAGGTTCCAACACCACTGCCGTTTTAATTTTTTTCTTGGGTTGCCTGATATACTTTCTGATGCAAGTCTTTTGATTAAGGGATTGGTGTGGTTTTAGATATTTAAGTTGAATCGCTTGTAAAATATTTTAGCTACATTGTGGACGGGTGAGATGGTAAGATTGTTATATAAGGTCTAGTTAGATATATATAAGGGCGCTTTAGTTATAGCACAGAGGATTTTAGATTGAAAGCGCTGAATATGGTTCATGTTAGAGATTTTCGCAGAACCCTATACTTGGATTACGTCCACGTTAAAAAAAAAAAAAAAAAAATAAAACTGTTTAATATACAGTTTGTATATTAATAGCTTGGTTGATAACTTTATGTGGCTGGAAGTTATGATAGAACGGAAAAAACGAAGTCGATCTTTTAAAAACAAAAGTTTGTTTCGAAGATAAAAAGAGGGACCATGTAAAACGTTGATCATTGAATCCTAGGTAGCGAGTGCTCTGTGTGGTTATCAGTTTGATTGTTTAAGGTGATAGGTGGGCATTTTTCCTTTCTAATAGTGAAGGTAGTGTATCGATTTTGACTCGTTTATTTTCACTCCCCACTTTTGTATCATTTTTCAATGTGCGAGAGATTCTTTTATACATGTGAGGAAGCGACGGTTGATTCATGGCTATTTACTATGAGAGCTTTGTCATCGAAAAGTCAGTAATGAGACTAGTGGATAGTATGGATTGATCATATATGAAAATGTTAAACAGCGGAGTAGTTGTGACTGCGCCTTGGGATACTCCTGCATTAAATGGCTTTGCTAAATAGATAGCTGTATCATAGCGAACCGAAAAGAAATGATCTTCTAGGTAACATTTAAGTATAAGGTAGTAATTAGATTGTAGGATGAGCTTCAATTTGAATAGAAGACCTGCGTGCCAGACACAGTCAAACACTAGGGAAACATATAGGAAGGCCCCAGTACAATATTGTTTATCTTCTAAAGAAAATTATATTTTATCAACTATTCGGTGAATTTGATCTATTGTAGAGTTGATACTTTAAGTTGGGTAAGATTTTTGTTTCTTCAATAATATTTAGGATTCTTTTAAGTAAGATTTTTTCAAATACTTTTGACAATATTGGAAGTAAGCTAATAGACCTATATGATGATGGGGAGTCTGGTGGTTTTTCTGGTTTAAGAATAAGTATAATAGTAGAATACTTCCATAGAATAGGAGAATACGATAGCCGGAGCATTGAATTAAATATATGAGTCAGAAGTATGATAACTTTTTTGGAAGCTGATTAAGTATTTCTAATATTATTAAATCATAGCCAGGAGACTTTTTTCGAGGGAATTTGGATATTGTGTATTTAACTTTCGCAGAAGAGGTATGTTTTGATGGGAGGGACATTTGCAATGGCAAAGTTGAGAAATTGTTTAACCATGTTAATATTTTCCGGAAGAAGTATGGTATTATATGGTTGAAATGTTTCAGTAAGGTGGTTTATAAATAATATTAGCTTTATCCACGAGTGTACTTAATTTCCATTAGTATTTCATAAAATAGATGGGGGGGGGGTTTACATATATAAAGAAGCTGTTTGGTAACCTAAAAAAAAGAACCGTCTTTTTTCGTGAGCGATTCTATAGGCTTAGTATAAGATTCATTTCTATAGTTGGCTAGGTTCCGTTTGAGTTTTTGCGCGAGTGCATTATATTGGTATTTTTAAGAGGGGTATATTGATCTTTGCCATTGGCAGCAGACACGTTTTTGTGATATGAGGTTACGAATATATTAGGGAATAATCTTGTTGGATGTGTATGATTTCGGGGGTCGTGCAGATTCCATGCTAAAGTTTGGATGTTAGATGTGAAAAGATTAACTGCATCATTAATATCATTGTTCGTTTTTGACCGGACTTTTGAACTAGTATTTTGTAGTATTGATTTATGAAAGTTTTCCCAGTTGATATGCTTATACAACGAAGTAGGGCTGTATTGATTGGACAGAGGCTGGGAGTCAATTGTAGTACGGGGGAGTGATCTTAAAATGGAACATGGGTATTTATAATTGAATATTAGAGTGTATAAGATATTTCTTTTTTTCCGTTTGAGTAGTTTCGTGTTCTGTCTCATTTAGATCAGGGACACCACGGTCAATAGTATCTTGTTTATTTTCCTTTTTAAATAATAATGAATGACGGTTTGGTGAGTAGAAAAGTTTTGTTTTCTTTGTCACAGGTTGACGGCTGGTTGGAGTGGCCAGGATTATTAATGTTGAAAGAGGCGTGTGTTTTGATTTGGATTTTTGTTGCTGTCATACGGCGCCAGATTGATTGGGTTATTATTGATTAATTGATTATTATGTATCTTGATTGCCTCTACCATTTTAGATTGCGTGCTACTATTTCTGTTCTTGTTAATTGGCATCATGTAACCATGTGGTTATCTTATCTGCGGTCCAAAGTCATCGTATTCACGCGCCTGGGGACGCAATGTAGATAGAGGTGTTATTTGTTGTAATTGATTATTTACCTTCTTCCCAGTTGTGGTGATTTAGAGTAATTGATTGGCTTGAAATGATAATGTAAAAATGTTGTGATATTTTTTATAGTGAAATAAAAAAAAAAAATGAAATATACATGCGCACTCTATAGCTGTTCACGCTGAACTGCAAATCTTATATATCTAATAAATTTTAATTCTTAGTCGGAGACCTAAAATGCATGGCAATAAAAATTATTCTTCATTACTTGGTTACCAATTTGTCGACACTATAATGGATCCAACAAATGATAAACTACATAATTTGACAACAGAGTTCGTTGAATATTTAGATACACTAAATATGTATGACGACTATAAATATGTAGAAGATTTTAAATTGAATATGAGCAATGATACTTGGCATAAAGTTTGCAATTTTAGACGTATGAAAATTGAAACTGAATTTAATATCAATACTTGTCAAAAACACGCAATAGACAACGATTATTTAATAGAAAATTTAAAATACAGTAAAAAAAACAAGGAAACAATGATTGAGGAATTAAAGATATCTATAATTAGACTGGAAAATCAAGCTTCTTATTATGAAGATAACCCCGAGGTCAGATTAAGATTTTTAATAACGAAAATAAAAATTACTTAATATTTATTTTTAATTTAAATTATAGATTCAATTAGTAATAAAACAAAGAAATGTTGAAACGGTTCTAACAGGAAACTTCGGTGATTTTGAAAATACATCACTTATTTCCAAAAATACTATAGATGAAGTGAACACTGAAATTAAAGTAGACTGTTAAATACTTTTGTTTTATATATACAAAAAATGTAGATAATAGTTGGTAAAAAGTGAAACGATATGTAATTTATTATATGTTTCAATTTATTTTATGTAATTTACATTAATATAAACATTAGATAAAGCCTTGATTAATTGATTCTCTCAGTGACTCAGTGTTCTGACCATGATCTCTCTCTCTCTCTCTCTCTCTCGGCTTTTAAAGGCCATTGAGGCCCATTACTGCAACACATATTTGCTTCCACCTGTCTCTATCCTGAGCTACTGCTTCCATAATATATCTTGTTTTCCAAATTTTTCAAAAATTTTTTTTACTTTGTCTATCCATCTTTGTTTTGGTCTACCTAGTGGTCTTTTCCCAAGGAGATTCCATTTTAATACCGCTTTCATTAAGCTATTTGACCTCAATACGTGGCCAGCCCATGCGATTCTTCTATATTGTAGTACTGCTACGATGTTCGATTCTTTATATAGTTGTTGTAATTCAATGTTGCTTCTAATTTCATATTGTTGTGTGATATTATTTTGTTTTGGCCCATATATTCTTCTTAATATTCGCCTTTCAAAGATTGCTATTTTATCTTCATATCCTTAGGTCATTAGCCATATTTCACAAGCATATAAAAGAACTGGTTTGATAATTACTTAATATTGAGTAATTTTTGATTTAATTGATACTTGTTTTGATTTAAATATGCTCGTTAACCCATAATAGCATTTGCTTGCTGCAGTAGTTCTTATATTAATTTCTTCGTAATTATTATTTTTGCTATTTATTGTAACACCCAGATATTTAAAATTATGTACCCTTTCAAACTTAAAATTCTTAACTTCTGTATATTCTGCATGATTTTCTCGTCTTGATATTATCATATATTTAGTCTTTGATTTGTTGATTTGTAATCCAATGTCTTTACTATTTTTAATTAGTTCCTTAGTACCCATTATTACTTCTTGTTTATTTAATCCTAATATGATATCATCTACATACGCTAAAATTCCGCATTTTCTTTTGTTTCCTTCCAAGTTTAACCCATCATTCTTACTCTTCGTTTTCTTTACTACCGTTTCTAGTGCTATATTAAAGAGTACTAGGGATAATGCATCTCCCTATCGAAGTCCAGTCTTAACTTCAAATTCATCTGACATATGTTGGTTGTATTTAATTTTACATCTCGTTTTATCCATGCATAGTTTGATCATTTTCATTATTTTGGACGGTATTCCGAAGGTTATGAATGCATTTCATAACACTTCTTTATTGACTGAGTCATATGCTTGTTTATAGTCAACAAACAAAAAATGTAAGTCCCTGTCGAATTCATAATATTTCTCAACTAGTTGTTTAACCGTGAAAATGTGGTCTATGGTGGATTTTCCTCTCATAAAACCACACTGGTAATCCCCAATAATATCTTTTGTATACGGCGTTATCCTGTTTAACATGATACCTGATAATATTTTATACATTATGTTCAACAGTGATATTCCTCAGTAGTTTTGATAACTCGAAACATCTCCCTTTATATAGATTGGACAGATTATTACTAATTGCCATTCTTTTGGTATTTCTTCTGTTTTCCATATTTCTGTGATTAATTTACCTTTTTCATTTATCAATTCTTCTCAACCGTACTTAAAAAGTTCCGCGGCTAACCCATCTTCACCTGGTGATTTGTTGTTTTTCAATCCATTTATCACTATACTAATTTCCTCGTCTGTTGGGTCCATGTCTTCGGGTTTTGCAGTGTAGTACTCTATTTGTGGATGGAATTGTCGTGTGTGCGGATTGAGTAATTCATTGAAATAATTTCCAAATTGTTTTGCAATTTCTTCTCTATCCGTTACAAGTGTTCAGTTTTTATCTCTTATTATTTCTGTTCTGGGAGTATATTCCATTTTATGTTCTTTTGTTTGTTTGTTTGAAGAATAGCCTTGGGTTTGTACTATTTTTTCGATCTGTTCTATTCTTTCCTTTTCCCATAGCCGTTTTTCTCTTCTTATTGTGCGTTTAGCTTCTCTAAGTTTCTATGCAAATGCATTATTATTTTCTGTGTTTGGGTTTGTAAGCATCAATGATCTTGCTTTATCCCTTTCTTCGATAGCTCTCTGATATTTATCGTTAAACCATTTATGTTTTTTATTTACTCTTTTCTTTTTTCCTAAGTGTTCCACAGCGGTTGTTTTTATTATATCCTCTACTTTTTTCCAACGGGTTTCAATATTTTCTGCTTCTACTCCCTTTTTTGGTTTATTTTTAAGATCGTTCTTACATCGATGGGATATTTCTGAATTTTTTATATTGTTTGTATCAATTTTGTCTTCTATTTTCACCTTTTTTGTCCATCTTCGTGGTAACTTAATTTTGATTTTTGTTTTAACTAAGAAATGGTCTGACTGAGCAGGTACTCCCCGATAACTCCTGACATCTTTTATGATATTGCTAATTTTCGAATCTGTTGTGATCAATTGATGTTATATCAATTTGATTTTTGTTACTGCCTCCAGGCGAGACCCATGTTTCTTTATGATTATTTTTGTGTGGGAAAAAAGTACTACTTATTCTTAACCCTTTAGATATTGAAAATTAATTAGTCTGTTTCCATTATTGTTGGAGAGTGTGTGGAAGCTTTCTTTTCCAATTGTTGATCTGTATATTTCTTCCTTTCCAACTTTTGCGTTGAAATCTCCGAGGATAATCTTCGGATGATTCTTGGGTATTGATTCATATATATTATTCAGATCTTCATAAAATGCTTCTTTTTCATCTTGTTGCTTGTCCTCTATAAGCGCATAGCCATTTATTAGTATTAAATTCATGTGTTAACATTCAAGTTTAATATAACATAGTCTATCACTATACGGTTCAAATTGTTTTAAGTATGGTAGATATTCATTGTTAATAATAAATCCTACCCCTCTTTCATGTTTTTGACCACCTCCATAAAAAACCGTAAAATTATTCGATTTAGATTTCTATCTCCTATCCATCAAACTTCTTGAATTGCCGTTATTGCATTTCTGTATCGTTCTAAATTAATCTCTACAATTGTCAGTGCGCCCGCCATAAATAGCGACTGTACATTCCAAGTTCTTAGATTAAACTTATCCAAATAATTGTTCATACGAGGCTTGGTTTTGTGTTGTTCTGAAACCCATATTTTTTTCATGTGTGAGGTGATTAGCCTTATGCCAAACCCCCATTAATGGAGGACCTAACAGGTTGGGGGATTTCCCCCCTCTCCTTGCTGGAATCGTTCGCCTGGAACTTTCCACCAGCAAGGGGTTATTGCGATACCTTAGTATCGGGCGATGGGGGCACCAATTTCCCTACGCCAGTTCTGACCATGATACAAACTTTTTTCTGTATAATGTATTAATGTAAATATAATTAACAATATGGATTATTAAGAAAATATATTTCATTTTCAGGAAATGGGTAACTCTAAAATCGATACTGTATCTAGTTTACTTAGATTCAAATGTAGACATAGATTATTAGAATGGGAATATGAAATGTTAAAAAATCATAAAATTCAATTATACACATTTCGTTTTGATTTTATAACATCAATGAAAATAACTGAAAACATGTTATATTATTTCAAATTCAAAATAAAAGGAATAAATATTACTGAAAAAGCTAAGCAAAATTTAGATAAAGAACTATACGCAATTAAATTTGTAAGCTATTAACGATACGATTTCAATTTAGTAATTACTATAATAGATATTAAAATATAACGAATTTTAAATTAGACTTACTTAAAAACGAAAGAAAATCTTAAGTTGAAATTAAATGATCTGAATAAAGTAACGAGTAAAACTAAAATGAGGAATAAAAAGGCTGACGAAGACATTGGCCAAATGAAGTGGGAATTAAATGAATTAAAGCGCCAAATCAATTTCAGTTTGAATGATAACCTGATACATCATAGTGGTGAAAAGTAAATATCCATCAAATTTTTTATACTATTTATATATTATATTTATAGATAGTATATTTCCAACTGAGGTGCTTCTAAATTATGATCGTAAATTATAACAGAATGAGGCCGTTTGCTTAAACTAATTCTGCGCAGATACCTATATATTAACTCATGATTACATCTGTAATATTAAGCTCAACTATTATCTCAAGAAATAACATTATTTTATCGGAATTTTGTTTTAGAATAAAAAATATTATGAGATTTGCAAAAATAAATAAAAAAGTTCTAGAATTAAACAAAGAAATTTCAGAATTGGAGGATGAATGGGAACAATTACAGCTGCTCCACGGAAAACATCCAGCTAGATAAGTTAATATTCTAAAATATAAGCAAACAAAAATTATTATCAAACTATTATGAATACTTCTAAATCTAAAATTTCACAGACTCTAATCCAAAAGGTTCTAAAAGAATATTTGAAAAAATCACTTTTTTCGTCATTTAGACTGTCGGATATTTATATAATTATTATATATATATATATATATATTAAATGGTCATCGAATTTATCTGACCCAACCGACTTATCTATCTTCCCTCATTAGCGATTATCATCGACGATCGCGGACAAAGTCCGTGCGATTATCGCATGTCCAGTGAGTCGCCCGGCCGTACTAGTCAGTTGTTGCGTATGCGCATTCTCCGTTGTGCCAAGTGCGATCCGTGCCTTTTGGTGTTGCCAACGGCCATTTTGTCGAAAGTTCTGCAGCCCATTGTGTCGCGTGTGACCAATTTTTTGTTGTCTCGCGTTATACCGCATTATGAGACCTTTTCGGTACGTAAATTGGTGCACGGGAGTGTTCCGACGCCCTGATACTCGTCTTGGGTGGTGCCGTCGTTTTTTTTACGTGAGTCGTGCGTCACGAATATATATATAAACCACGGGTTTGGTGGACCGGTTTGTACGTCACTCGTCCATCTTCGATCTGTTGTCGCGTCGCCCTCAGCGCCGATAACATTTGACGTCGTGGGACAGGTCAACAAACTCCGTCGCGAGGCCTTTCCGTGATAACGGTGATAAACGTCTCGGTGCTATCACGGTCGTATTATCTTTTATTGTTATTGTTATATTATTATTATTATTTTTTGTATATTATTGCCGTTCAGGCGTACTTATTATTTAAATTCAATTCATGCAAATTAATTATTATTATATATTATATTATTAGTGTGGAGACGTCCACTTATTATTATTATTATTTATTACGTGTTTTTTAATATTTCTAAAATAGTACGGCGATGTGATTGACACGTCATATATTATATATATATATATATATAATTTGTGTTATTTATTTTTATATCATTTAATATATTAGCAGTCACCTTTTCTCTCGACACATATATGCAGGTGTTTGGTGTGGGGGTACATTAAGTGGTTGAGTTGTAATTGTACTAGTAAATATTATCATTATTATTGAATGTAACCAAGCCGGTTGACGTCCTCTGGGTCGACAATAAAGGTTCGTGCTACATAGACAAAGCGTTTTACCATGCTTTTTTTCTAGCTAATAAAAAGTTTAATACGTAAAAAACCAAAGAACTTATTCAATGCAAACAAGCACAATATAACTTTAAAATAACACTATTGAAAACCTTAGATGGAACTATATTTTACTTATTTGATGTTAGAACAAAAACGTTCTATCGAATTCAAAAACAATTTTATTCGAACAAAAAGTTCAATGTGTAATTTTTAAAACGACATAAAATAATTTGTACAATAATATGATAACTATAATTATTCTGAAATTACAACACAGTACTTCCACAAATTTTCAAAATAATCCTATGAGTATTGAGTGTGTTATTAAAAAAATAGAATTTAACATTTGTATATGACTATTATATACGTAAATTTGAAATGAAAAATTATTTATGATTTAAGAAAAATTAAAAAAAAAACAAATTGAACAATAAGACAAGTATTATTTTCTAGGATAAGAATTGATAAAATATTGGAAAAACTACAAAAAAAAAAAATTAAAATAAGTAGACCTTCTAGAGTAAAAACATTGAAAAAAATTGGGTTTTGTTTCAAAATGATCTAATGCATATTTAGTGTGGTATTCAGCTTTCAGTTTTGTAAACTTGTATTGTGGATTATTTTTAGCAAGATAGGTAAATTATTTAACGACTTCAATTAACTGTTAAAAAATACAAAATGAACAGAAAAAACATACTTGCAGAGTAACAAAACATGAACAATCTTTAGGTGTGGGTTTCAAGATGATCCAATGAGCATTGAGTGTTATTAAAAAAACAGAATTTAACATTTGTATATGCCTATAATACTAGTAGGTACATTTAGAATTATAAATGTTTTTATGATTTAAAAAAAACAAAATAAACTTTAAGTAGAATATTCTAAGGTAAGAAGTGATGACAAATCTTTTGCTATAAGTTTCAAGATGATCCAATGGGTATTGAGTGTGTTATTAAAAAAACAGAATTTAACATTTATATATGCCTATAAAACTAGTACATTTAGAATGAAAAATTTATTTACGACTTAGAAAAAATTAAAAAAAAAAACAAATTGAGAATTTATGACAAATCTTTTGGTGTAGGTTAAAAAATAATCCATTGGATATTGAAAGTTTTATAAGTGATCTAACGTAAATTCTAACACATTTATAATAACATTATTGTAAAACAGTTGCTTAATATTTAAAAACTAGTTCTTAATAAAATTAATCAGATGTTCATTTACAAAATGTTGTCTTAAGGCCAAATTCACATCAATGTAAGCTATAGCATTTTCACAAGTATACGATAAACAGATGTTCCTATATGCATGGTCAACCATCCTAAAACAAAAAAATAATTTATAACAATAAACATAAGTATTGACTGAGACTAGGCAATGAAAACCTTAATGCTCAACACAGGCACATGCCATAAATCTTACGATGGAGATTTAATCAATCGTGAACAGGCATACACATGAAGTCTGAAGCATATACAGTGAAACCTCAGAATAGCAGACATTCATGGTCACCAATATTTTGTCCGTTATTCGGAGGTGTCCGTTATTCAGAGGAGATACATTTTTGAAATCTATTTGTATAATAATGTACTATGTATGAATATATACATACATATAATATTATTACTTATTATTTATTGTAAATTATTATATTTTTATATTTTTACAAATTATTATTAATTACATATTATTATTAATATTATTTAAAGTATATTTTTACAGTCAAAATCAAAATTATGTACATGTATTTTTAAATTATTTTTGTTTGAAAAAATCGGTGAGCTTTGTTTATAATTAACGTAGTCATCACGTCGAAAACCGTCACTAACTGACATATTTTTGTCATAACACATAACCGCTTCACCTATAACCGAATTTGTCGTAATCGTATCGTCCCATAAGGAGTTTGTTATCGTAATTACATTATTACGAGAGTGCATACTATGTAAATACATATTATTTTCAAATAATTATTAGGAATTTACCATTATTTTAAAAATTCTCAAATAAAATAATGTCCGTTATTCGGAGAGTCCGCTATTCAGAGGTTTACCTATTGAAAAATAGTGAAAATGTCCCCGTTCCCCAAAAAACATCCACTATTGGGAGGTGTCCATAAGTGGAGGTTTCACTGTACAATCCGGATCATAGAAGTACAGTATAGAAAATTCGGCTCCAATAGAATCCATATTTACTGTTGACCTAAACATAAGAACAAATAACCTCACATCAAACTTGATATTCATAGAATTAACTAAAATCCGTCAATCAAATTTTTACACTATTCTAATATTTATACACTTTATGACTATATGAATGGAATAGATTTCAACAACCTTTTATTTCATTATAAAATTAAAATATCATATACGACACATGCATGAACACGTAATAAAAAACTTACCTACTTTCAATTTCAATAATAAATCACATCCTTTCAATGCAAACTTGAACACAACAAAATCGAGTGTCTCGATAAAAATGAAGTATACATTGAACATTGAACGTTCAAAACGCGTAAGAATAACATATTCTTGGTTTCGCTGCTAAAACAGAAAAAAAATGAAAATTAATTTGTTACTAAGACGTGAAGAAACAACAAAATGGGAACCGTTTAAACTAAAATAGAATTATACATGATAAAGGTAGGCGGCTAGCAATGACCGAATTTATCTTACAGTTGAGTATGAGCGTTCAAACATTCACGAAATTAAGAATAAAGTATTCACCATATCAATGAATAAAACATATTATAGTAAGGGTAATTAATTTAAAAAAAATTTACAATTACCTGCTTTTAACATCAACTACACCGGAATAAAAATAAAAGTATTCAAACTGACGTGCATCAAACGTTAAAAATAGGATAAAGAGGTCTTGGATTACGACCAAAAATACGATAATCAACAACATAATGCTAAAAGCAAAATGAAAAAAAATACACAACTAATATTTCTACTTCCCGTCAATCTGATACATGACGAACGACTCTTTTAAACTATTTTAGATGAGAAAGATACGTCTATTTTGATAAACTTATTAAAAAAATGAAAAAACTATAAAAAAAAAAAAATTATTAAATGAGTAGACCTTCTAGAGTAAGAACATTGACAAAAATTAGGTTTTGTTTGAAAATGATCCAATGAATATTGAGAGAGTTATTCAGTAATCAGTCTTTTACACTCACAAATAAGCCATATATATGTAGCACGAAAAAAATTATGTAATTTTCAAACCCTAGAAAAATACATAATATGAATAGTGAGTAGATAATCCTATTGTAAGAAATGATGACAAGTATTTTGGTGATGGTTTCATGATGATCCAATGAATATTCAGATAGTTATTCAAATTTCAGTTTTTTAACCCTCACATATGAGCCATATATGGCACGAAAAGTTGAATTAAGTTTCACCCTAGAAAAATACATAATATGAATAGTGAGTAGACAATCCTATTGTAAGAAATGATGACAAGTATTTTGGTGATGGTTTCAAGATGATCCAATGAATATTCAGATAGTTATTCAAATTTCAGTTTTTAGCAATACGCTTCG